ATTTTAGGCCACCAAAGTTAAACTCAGCATCAGAGAGACATGACTGCAGTTGTTGTAAGAGGGAATAAAAGACCAGATTTGTCACCTTCATATCTACAGCACCAGGAAGGAGTAACAGTTCAAGGATACAGATATTTAACGCCATCATGAGCTATATATCTGTTTACCCTGCCTGAAATATCAGCTGTTTCATCCACCCACAAAAGCCTAGGAACTTTAACTAGAAGAAGAAAAACAAGGCTATTTTGCTATTCTGAAGCCAGTAAGACTCTGCTAGTAACGGGTGATAAAAGACTTTTACTTTTCCTTTGTTTCCAAACGCTTGCTTTAAACTACTTATTTTTGGGAGTTTGGGGTTACTAAACTGAGAGAGGCTGGAGAGGCTGCAGCCTATGCAGAATAAATGATTTAAGAACTGGGTTTGGCTGATTTATTTTTTCCTTCGTATTGGAGATAAAAAGAACGAACACATTCTAGTAATCCCTACTCATTTTCACAGCCATTCTTGCACCTGTAACTCAAATAATGAAGCCATTTGTTATTTATATTGCACTTTCCCCTCCATTCTAGATTTCTAATGATCTGACCCTGCTTTATGGCCCTGACAAAGCCTGAAACCGGTGTGGACTTCCAATAATTGAACGATATAAGGAAAAATCTTTAACTGGAATGAAGCAGATGTTAGCTTCATGCAGTTCCCTAACTTGATTATTCTTTGGACACGTTAGACAAGCATTAGTGATTGATAATGATGCTAATTAACCCCTTTCCTTTCCAAAACAGTAAACCAATGCCAGCAGGATTCTGCAAACAACACACACAAAGTGTATACCAGTATCTGTTCAAAGTGGATCAGGGACACAACTTCATTGCCTGGTGCTGGACAAAAACCTTATCCTGCTGACACCAAGCTGGCTCCAAATCCTTTCTAGGAGTTAACAGCTCACACTGCTTGCAGGGCAGGGAGCAGAACATAGCTCTTTCATGCAGAAAAGGTGCACAGGACAAAATTGAAGGCACCATTTACATTTTGTAGTCCCAACCTTTCGCGTTTGATTATGGAGCCAGTTTAAATCACTGTGCCCTCACTAGCTGGGATGGACTTCCCGCTGCTCCCCGTCAGAAGGGCGCTCATTATTTTAGCTACACGTTCCTAACATGAGGGCTGAGGCTCTGGGAATCTGGTCTGGGCTGAGACATGCATGTATCAAGGAGGGAAAGGGAAGTGCACATTCTGGAATTTAAATGGGAGGTAGAAAACGAGTAAACAAACAAGGAGCTGATCTGATTATGCAGTCGAATTTATCATGGACAATAAAGAAATTGCCTTTAAATGTAAGAGTTTGGATAAATGAATACTCCTAGCAAGTGAATAAAATGTATTCAATTAACTAAAAACCTTGTGCACTTCTGAACTGAAGTGGAATCGACTGTAATTGATTTATTTGAAACCAGAGGTTAAGGACTGAATTAGCTAAGTACAACTGGGTATTTCAAGCCACTGACTTCTCAAATGTCAAATCTCTTCTATTTTAAATATTATTTCAGCTGCGGGGCATTGCTGTCCTGATGGCTGTTCCACCAGTTAAATCTCAAATTATATTAATATTTGATTTTTGGAGGGTGGGGTAAAATACGGTACAAAGAGGAGGGCTGTCCTTGTTCACGGTGAAAGAGCACCAAGCTGTATTTTGGTTCACATGCAGGAATCAGCTCAGCGTGGCAGCAACGCTCTAACGTTCAGCCACCACTCACCCTCGCTTCAACTGATCTGGGGAAGGGAAAAAATAACAACAGAATTTTGTTTAGTGTATAAAAGCCTGACCTAGAATTTCACTACTGCACCTCGATCACAACACAAAAAATGCTTCCAAAGAACACTGGAGTAATTAGCACGTTTTAGTAACTGCACATTGGTCACAGCAGAAGAGGCTGAACGGAAGCTAGTCTGATTTCCATTATCGCCTGTAAAATCCTTCCTTAGAAATAATAGTAATAAAGAAATCTATGCAAGGTCATTTCATTTCTCTTTTTTGGTGGCTTGCTAATCCAGCAGCAGGATACCTAAAATGTGCTCTCCTACCATGAAGTAGCTAATTATATCTTTAAAACATTATTTATTATGACCTTATAATGTTCTAGCATAAGACTGCATTATACATTGACCAGTATAAAACGATTATATTTGGTACAGGTTTCAAAAAGTAACAAGCATCTGTAAATCCAGATATGAATGAATGGTATTTAATAAGATTGTTTTCATTTAAAAATGAGTATTTATGTGTCGCTGTAGAAAGAGCAGCAATGTATTGCTGTTTATGAATGCTATTGTGCCTGAGGTTAGGATCCCACACACAATCTGAGATGCAGCCAAGAAAAACAGCCCTGATAGACAATGCTTCACTTCACCTGCTACAATACTGTGCATTTCATTTATGTCAAGAATATGTACAGTTAGGGTTCATTCACCTCATTATTTTGTTACATCTACTTTACGGTTAACCAGTCTCTCTTGGAAATAATAAATAACTGTTTTTAAAACAATTGCAGCTTTGCATTCAAAAGATCCACTTTCAATTTACAGAAAAAAAATATTCACCATTTTTATAAACTAGCTGGCTCTCGAAAATAGAATTTAGACTCCACCAACTCTCTTTCTGCTTGGCAAGATTGATTTTACACTGCCTTCCATAAGTAGATTACCAAAGCAAAATGAAACATCTTGGGCTTTATCTAATGCTTTGCTTCACCAGCTCTGCCAAACGTCAAAATATATGAGTAAATGTTAATTCTCTGTGCAGCTTCATTGTAAACACCTCCCTCCTAACCTCCTCAATTTCTGCCTGAGCAAAAAGGGGAAAAAAGGGAGAGAAAGAGTCAGGGAGGGAAGAGAGGAAAATCAGTCTCCACTACCAAAATACCATCAGCACTTAAAGGAGACCCTTTCTTTAAAATGCCTTTACATTCTAAACTGCATTAAGTCTCCCTTCCTATGATATAACATAATCCAGCCTGATCCTGACTTCACCTACCCCCGGGGCCAAAGAAAATAGATTCAAAATCTGAATTCTCACATGTTTTTATAGCCCATCTTCAAGACATACACTCAATTTTTTTAAAGCGAACTTCCCTGTTTCACAACTGGTTTCCACAAGAAGAAACTCAAGATAAAAATTTCAGTCATCTCAAAATGTCAGTCTGTGCATTCCAGTAAAACACGAACCATCAATCAGAAATAATCTGTCTCCTGCAAGATTTCAGTAAAGTTCACAACCGTGAGATGATTTTGTTGGCATCAACTACGGAGCTTTTCTTTTTTCTTGAGGGGGAGGGAGCACCCAGCTCTGATTTATCATTATAAATTTTTTTCATAGCATTAATTTTCAGTATTTTCTCAGTAATGATTCTTTTTTAAATGTCCTTCTTGAAATGTGTTTTTTAATCTTTGCTCTCGGTTAGGACAGCTACATGTACAACATTTTATAGGCTTATAATTCTGTGTGCTGTATATATAAACATAAATAAAAACCTAGAGGTCAACATAAATAAAATAAAACTTTTATTTTTTAAATAAAATTATGTTTTGGTTAAAGAAAAGATAGTGTGTCATTTTTGTTAGTAGTACAGACAATTTTTTATCCAAAAGAATACATTGTGCTTTATTGTGTCATTTGTCTGAATACAGACTCAGTGGAATATCTAAATGATACCCTGCTCTGAACTCCAAGTTGAAAGTAAGTTTTTATTATACTTGAGGGAAACAATGGGTTCAGCTGCTTATTGCAAGGAGCAATTGTCAAGGGAGAGTTAAACTCAATTACTGTAACCATACTGAATAAAAAATACTGCCAAGAACAAAAATACGCCTGGGTAAAGACAGCTACTGAATAAAAAAATCGACATAAAGCGTATCAAATATTTATTTATCTGGGCAACAAAGGACTATGATACATTGATAGGCATGGAAACTACTGCCGGCACAACTCAATACAATACAACTATAACTGCTTCCAATATGGCCAGTGGAGATACAGGATACCAGGTGGTCCCGAATGTTTGAAGTTCTTTGGGAAAAAAAAAATAAAAAAAAAAAACAAGAGAGAGAGAAAAATAAAAACAAAAGAAAGGGAAAAAGAAAAAAAAACAAGAGGGGGAAAAAAAGGAAAGTAAAGCTAAATCTCGTTTTAAAAGACAATATTAATTTATTGCTCTGTTGGTGCTTTTGGGAGAAGGACAGTGGATGAAAATAACTTTTTTTTATTTTCCACAACACATAAGGGTTGTAAAACCACTAACATGTTTAAAAACCTTGCCAGGGTCCAACATCACTTTATTTTATCTTCAATGAGAAACTAAATGTCATACTAATTATATATAAAAATTAATGGTTTTTTATTTGTTCAGCTGCTTCATTGTCGCTTTTAACATGCTACAACAGGGCTAAAAATGATGAATCCCAGAGAAAAACCCCCAAAAAACCTCTGATATCTAAATAAGTACCATGAACCACATGATGAACTAAGAGGGGAAGATTTAAAACCCACTAAACAAGAGGTAAACGAGATCACCAGATAAATAAAAAAAGGCTTAAAACAGACTCACCATATTTACAATTCCCATTAAATTACACATAAATAAATATATACATACATGAACACTGATTCCCTTATATAATAACCGTGAATCGTGTTGCAATAGAAAGTTCAAGTTGGTCGCTTTACCTCGGACAGGAAAAAGTTCTACAACTGAAGATATGACATGGAACCGCTTGTGTTTTGTGTTCAAGTTTATTCACAATACTGATAAAATATCATCAGTCCTTTTTGCCTTTTGTATGTCTGCTGCTGCTGCTGTTGTACTTTTTCACTTTTTTAATTCATTTTTAGTATGGCTACAATCTTAACTGAAGTTTATGTAAGGGAAGGTGGTGATTCAGTCCGGTGAAGCTCATAGAATTTTTAAGTATTATTTAATTCTTTTTGTTTGTTTTTTTTTTAATTTTTTTTAATATATTTTTAGAAAAAAAAGTCCTTTTCTTTTTTGCTTTATTTTTTTGTTGGTTTTTTTTCTCTTTTTGTTTTATTTAAAAAAGAGTTCACAAACTCAAGACAGAACTTTTTTTCTTTGCTGGCTCCGTCCCCCTGTTCTGTTCTCTTAGGCTCCAAACGGGTAAAACGATGATGGCAGTGGGAAGAAGGGGGAATTTAAGTGGGAGCAAATGGAAATGTGGATGCTGGGAAGGGGTGTGGGGAAAGGATAGAGCAGTCCTGCAGAGTCAGAGAACAGGACTGGCAGAAGGACGCTCATTCTGTTGCTGTAGCCTGGGGTGCTGGGTCCCGGGGAGAGGGAGGAGGGAGATGAATGGATCGATGGGCTATGAGGGGGAAGGGAGAGGAGTGTGGGGGGGGGGCATCCTCACTTTCGGTGCTTCTCCTCTTTGTCGCCGCTTTTGGTGCTGTTGTCTGTGTGGCTGTTGGGGTTGTTGCTGAGGTACATTTTGTCCATGGCCTTGAGCGCCTCGGTGAGATAGTTCTGCAGGGCGGTGACGGCAGCACACACCGCCGGGCTCCCAAAGCCGTGTGAGATGAGGTTGAAGTGGGTCAGGCAGCTCTGGATGCCCGGCTCCAAAATGGGGTTGGGCCGCGAGTTCCCCAGGGGAGATCGGTCCTGAGCCAGCAGGTCGGTGAACTCTTTACAGATCTGTCTGTAGCACAAATGGAGCAGAGAGACAGAGGGAGGGAGGGAAGGGAAAAGAGAGGGAGAGAAATGAACCATCACTGGCGGCAGCAAAGCCCGTGCATTCTCCCTGCTAGATTTCACAAGCCCCTGGATCAAGGAGGTTCCTGCTCCTGAGTGCACACACTCTCTCCCCTGTCCTTCTCCTCTCTATGCATTCTTCCCCCTAATTCTCACACCTCCCTGGCACTCACAAACCTCCTCCTTTCACCTTGCACGCACACACACCAGCACGCCTCACATCACACCCCAGCCCCATCCAACACACAGGCGGACAACAGGAACACAGAGACACATGCCTCTTGCCCCACCACTCTCCATATGTCAGCCCCCAACACTCTCCACAAAAACACATCCCTGCCCGGCTGGGGTTTGGAGCACCAACACAGTTTAAAGTTCCAGAGCAGGCTTAATAGACAGGCTGTGATATCCAAAGGTAGGCTAAGAGGTTTGTCCATATCTCAGAAGATTCCATGTTTGGGTGGGAATGAGAGAGCGGTATGGGCCTCTTCCTTCACAAAGCTAAAACACACACCTGTGTGTTAGGAAGAATGAGTGAGGGCAGAGCGGGCAACTGAGGATTTAAATTAGGGTATTCTGAAACATTTATATATGTAAATCTCTATCTCCAAATCCAAAGGGACCTTTCCACAGAGGGGGAGGCTGACGCTAACCAGGGCCTGGAAATTTCCTTCCGGGGAGGTAAGAAGGGAAGATACGAGGGCATGGTGCAGAAGATAGGTTATATCACCCGCTCACTGCACAAATGGTTGGAGAAATAACACACCTTACAGCAAGAGAGCTCAGAGGCGTGTTGAAACAGTTTGTGTTCTAAAACCCACATTAATGTCTTCCAGCCATAAAGCAACTCCCATCTCCTGCTTGTGTCCTCTGGCATTGTGCCCTTTGGTGACACCTCCACTGGTAATTAAGGGCTACTAAACAACCCTTTTAATTTCCAGCAAACATACCAAAACAATCATTTTCTTTTCACGCGCCACCTGGAAGTCTAGGCAGCCCCACCAACTATAAACTCCGCTAGCATTTTAACTGCACACAGATTGTCATTTAAAATATATTTTTAATATCCCTGTATTTGCTAAGTAACAGAGATGCTTAGGCAGGAAGAACCATTGCGGATTTTAATGAACTGAAATCAGTTTAATGCGCCAGGTTTATTTTACTGACAATGGGAAGCCCTCCCCTTCTACTTAAATTGATGAGCTAAGTGAATAGGCCCAGAAAACGTTCTGCTTTGAAGAATTACTGCTTTTTCTGTAACTAAACATCCACCCTCAATTCGCACAATTCACATTCAAGATAATCTGTGCAAACTGATTTGAAGGAAAACAAGCTGGTCTGTAGAGTTCTCCTGTATCACTAGGATCAACACACACCCCCACAACTTACAAAGCCATCAGCCACTGGTTATGCAGCAAACAAATGTCTTCACAAATAAAAGCGCCGAACTCAAGTTTGTCCCCCATCCCTTATTTCTAAGCAACATGCCAGAAAGTTAAATGTCTTACTTTGTTGCTAGAAGCATGTTTTTTCTTGTGACTTGCTCGTTTGGATCGGAATGTTGTCGGTTGAGAAATTCAGCTACTGCTTTGGCAGGAAATTCTGTCTCACAAACGTACCCAAAATCTCTAGCTAGATGTACTGCTTCTCCTGAATAGGGAGGCACGGGTGGGGATGGAAAGAAACACAGCTCATCAGTACACATCGCACAGAGGCAAAAATCCATTTGAAAAAAACTCCAAAAACCCACTACATTCTACTTGGGCTTTTCTTCTCAAAAGCCTGGACATTTTCTCTTTGAAAAAGTTAGGGCCAGAAATGCTAATTGCATCATATCTTGCAGTTTTCTTTGCTTCAGCTGAAGGTAATGCAAATGCATATTTTCATAACAATCATTACGAGTGAAATCTCACATAAGAATTTTTAAAAGTTCACATTAACTAAGATATACTTTTAGACAGACAGGCTCCCTCCACCCAGAATATGCGCTTCAATTTACATCTCCATACCTATAGAGAGTCATTTATGTACATTTTATTCACAGCTATTTACTCTGAAAATGTGTTTGCCTCAGCCGCATCTCTATATTCTTTTGCAATGCATCAATGATTAATATTGATCATAATTACTCCTAGAGCTCTTCTAAATAAAATGCATTAAACAGCTAAGTGTTTAAAATTTAACTTGATCGCATATAATTATATGTTCACCCCCAAACGATTAACCATGAGAATTTTAGGGTCATTCCACCGAGTCTGTCTGTTTTGTTGATTTTCAAATCTTTGGTTTTAATTTCCTGAACCAGTTGGTTTTTACTGCAGGGCTTCCTGCCATTAGCTCTAGCTCCGGAAGAACGCATGCGCCAATTAGGGCTTCAAAGCCTCAGTCCAGTGAGCTTGTTTCCATAAAATGGAGCGGATCATAAACAATAACAGTACTCCAGAAACTGCCTCATCGCTACGGGACTCAAAGCCCCAGCAATGTTTATACTATCATCTCCCCAAAATTAGCCACCATCACTACGTTATCTGAAGATCAGGCCTCTGGTTTTGTTTTTCTTCAAAAAAATCATTCTTTTCAAAGCCATTGTACGTGAAAGCCAAACAGAACAATGGATTACCATAAAACCTTCTCCATATTCATTAACATCACAAATAATGTTAAGCATCTACCAAATCTAGACTTTTTACAAGTTTTCCCCTCGTGATTTTTTTACCACAGCGTGTCAATGCAATTGCAAAGCCTTTTCAGAAACATGAAGACGCGGTAATTTTCATGCAGTATAAAAATAGTTTGTTCACTAATCCTGATGTTTAAAAAAATGACGCCTGGCATCATTGCACAGTGCTTTCTTCCCCGTCTCTTTGAACATGAAACATTTCTCACAGAATGCAAAGCGACAACAAAACAAATTCCCACCTACACAACCAAACTTAAGCTGGACCTGGACAGCTTGGGCTGAGTTTAAAAGCACTTTATAAACTGAACCAGTCTAAAATGCAGCCAAACTCATAGGTAAAGGCAGGCCTCGAGCATACTTGATGTCAGCCAGTGTGACACAGCCACCACTTCAAAACTAAATGACTGCAAACTCTTGAGCTTCCCACTTCCCTGCACAGACAGAATAGGACATCCCAAGGCACTAAAAACAAGTTGCACCTTTTCCAGCCAAAGCAAAGCAGAGGAGAATGATATAGCCAAGGGAACATGTGTTCTGAAAATGAGAACCAAAAGGGAGAGGGGGCTGGCAGTAGTGCAACTTTGAGGCTTTCAGGACACCATTAATTCATGGCTGAGGTCAAGGATTCCCAAATTAATTCAGGAAGTAATGGTCACGCATTTCTCAAATGCAGATGTCAGAAAAGTTAAATGATTTACTGTTATGTGGCTGCAGGCTGGGAGGGAGAACAAACTTAAAGTAGCTGCAGTTTCTGACATTTAAAATTGCTTGGTTGTCCACCTGTGGCAGAAGAACAGCAGTGAAGTATTAGAGGCGCTGCTGCCTGTAACTTCCTACTCAATACTCATGGGTCTCTTATGGGGCTAAGCCCACCATCCCCCTTCACAGGGATCCTTCCCATGCTTCTCCCAAAGAGATCTGCTTACTCCACAGAGGGATTACTCATTTGAATGAGCGAGTAAGATGGGGCCCTGAAAACATCTAGCTTGGAAACTTAAAAGCAAATAAATAATAGAATGCCTTGCTGAGTCTGCAGGACTCGCACAAACCCGTTTCAAGTTCTAACAAAAAGCAAAGGAACACAATTAACCTGATCTTTTTTTTTAAGGCATAAAAAATAACGCCCTTTTCAAATGCCAGTGAGTAGCACTGACTCCGGGAAAGGAGACAGAAAACCCGAACAACCGAACAGCAAGTCTTCTCCTATTTGGCAAAAGCAACAGGCACATTTTCCAAACAAGCCCTCCCAGCTCTTTGAGTCACTTACCCTCCACGAGTGATGTGAGCAAGGTAACGTTAGCAGCTTTACGCCTCCCGGCTGGCAGGTTTAGTCCTATTTTGTCCAGTTTCTCCCTCAGAGATCTCCCTCCGTTTTTAGACTTTGCCCTGCTCCACACAGAAAGGTATTAAGAAACAGGGCTTGGGGGAACACCTCCTCCTGCTTTGGCTCCCACCCACACATGCCCCAAACACATCCCTTCCCAGGGAAGGAAATAAAGGGTTTAGGCACATGGGATGGGATACATGGCTGTGAGAGGCTCAAGACCAACTGTTGCTGAAAGCTGAATCCCAGATACAGGGATGGTGCTTTGGATGTTCCCACATCTAGAGAACATCGGCCCTCACTAAGGTCTAGATCAGCCCCAAAGCTGACATGGAGCTCTGAGGTGCCTCCCTGAGTTCCCAAGGTGTCATGGACACCGGGACAACTTCTCCCCAGGCATGACGGGAGGAGGCCGATTTGCAGGGCCCGCAGCCCCAGAGCATCACTGCCCTCACACCAAACTCTAGGTGGCCCATCTGTGGCTTATCAGGACAGCTGGGCTAAACGGGGCTGCAGAGATGGGAGCTGACTTAATTAATCCTGGATCTTATTCCCTGCCCAGGCACTGCCTAATTGCCTGGGTGAGGCCACGGGGTGGGAGCTCAGGGCAGAGTGCCTGTCACTAGGCCGGTGCTGCGTGATGTGGGGGGTGTGTGTGTGTGTGTGTGTGTGTGTGTGTGTGTGCCCGTGGGGGGTGTCCCCGGCGGAGCGGGGCAGGGACACGCCGGGACCCCACGGCGGGGCTCCGGGGGCCGCGCAGGGCCGCGCGTTGCCATGGCGACAGCGCCCGGTGCCCCCGCCCGCCCGCGCTGCCCCGCCGGCCGCGCGCGCCCCGCCCCCTAGCGGCGGCCGCCGCACTCCCCCCGCGCCACCGCCCCGCGTGGGCGCTCGTCCTCCTCCTTCCCTGCCTCCATCCCTCCCTCCCGCACGGCACAGCCCGGCATCCCGCCTCCCGCGTCCCCCCGCCCCTCACCTCCGGAGCACTCCGCCCAGCAGGGAGGCGTTGAGGCACTCGGGCGGCGACAGGCGTCTCTGCACTTCCGCCACCGTGACCTTGTACTTGGAGGTGGAGCTGAGCAGCGAGAGGCGGCCCGGCACCGAGCAGAAGACCTCGTTGGGGTTCACCACCCCGCCGAAGAGCGCGTCCTTGTTGATGGGGATGGAGGAGACGGCGTTGTTGTTAGACTTGGAGAGGGACACGGGGCCTGCAGGGAGGGAGGAGCAGGGAGGTGAGGGTGAGGAGCGGGCGGGGAGCCGGGGACGGAGGGGGAAGCACCCGAGCCGCTCTCTGCGGCCAGCCCGGGCCCCGCACCGCCTGCGGGGCAGCGGGGACGCAGCGGGGGCACCCCTCCCCTCTCCCGTCGGGAGCCACAGGGAGAGAGCCGGACATCCCTGGACCAGCAGCGGGGAAATTGTACAGACCCTGCAGCCCCTGTCGAGCGCCGAGGCCGCCGGGTGCCGCACGTCGGTAGCGCCGCGTCGGGCGGGCAGTGCCCGGGTAGCGGCGCAGCCGGCAGGACGTGTGGCAACCCCGGGGCCCCGCCAGCCCACAAATTTACACATGGAAAACCCATAACGCGGCAGAGAACCGGCACCCCAAAATATAGCTCGGTCCCTGCCCGGCGGCGGCCGGCGGGGAGGTGCCGGGCCGTGCCGCCGTTCGGTGCCTCCGGTCCCGGCCGCCTTCCCTTTCTCCTCTGCCTCAGCCTGCTCCGCTTGGCGGGTGCAGTCCAACCAAGCGGGGGGCTCTCTCCGTTTTGGATAGATCACTTGTGACATTAATAGCTCTGGGAAGGCTAATAGATACAACAGGAGTTAAACGAACTCTTGAGATTACTAATAAAAGAGCCAATTATCATGTCGACTTGGAAAGAGCATCTCTTAAGATTTATCCCTTGCACATCTAATTTGACGTGACAAAGGCTTTGCAGGCGGGGGGTGGGGGGGTATGAAACTTCAGGTTCGCTGGCTGTACAGCGATTAGGGTTAGAGAGGAGAGTGCCTCACCTCAGCACCTCTCTCCTGTGGTGGCCTGGGTACCCAAATTCCGGGCGGCCACGCAGCCATAGCACCCCTCAGAGCAGGCAGGAGCTAGCTGCGCCTTCCACCCTGCCAGTTTTACTTCCAACAGCGTCTCACTACACAGCATCCAAACACAAAACCCATCACTTTCCACCGAGAACCTGCTTTGCAAAATGCCCTGTGCCGCCTTTCCCAATCCTTCGGTTGTCCGAAGAACGACGGGAAATGAAAATGGAGTGAAAATTTGCAATAAATATTCTGCAAGGTTTGGGTACCAGCTCCCAAGCAATTCAATTCCAAATGAAGCAAGCGCACAAAGCCAACGAAAACCAAATCACCCTAAACACCGACAGACATCACTTTTCAGAAACTCGCCCCTTATTCTCGACCAGTCCGCCTCATCACCGGCGTGATTTAAATAAGAAAACCCGAAGGAGAGGAAACAACGATTTCACTTTCACAGTCCCGTTTACCAACAACGATTCAAGCCCTCCGCTCAGCCAGATACATTGGGCAAACCATGAAACCAAATTGTTCGGTAATGCACTAAAAGACCGGCTCGGATTTTCTAGATCATCTGCTAACGTTTTCCTAGTTAACGACAATAATAATTAAAGTACCCGGCAAACGTGGCCATTTAAGAGGGCGAATTTCAACCCACATCGCCCGCTTTTCTTTGCTTCCAACCTTTTGGCCAACACTACATGCCAGAGGAAGGAGCCCGAGGCCGGGGGACTGGAGGGGAGAGGGGGGAGGCCGGGTAAGTCCTCCCTTCGAGCAGTCCCCAGCCTGTGACGACATGTTTGGTATGCGCAAGGAAACAGCTTACCTTTCTTAATTACAGTTTGATCTGGGATGTTAATACCGGGGTCTTCTACGTGCTGCAACAAAAGGAACAGGCAGGGATGTCAGGGTAGAACCACAACAAAAGGCAGGGAGGGCCGAGGTGGGATGGGGTGCAGGAGAAGTTTTGTGGTGTCCCCCCCCCCCAATTCCTGGGCACGATGTGAGGAGGGAAACAACAGATCCTGCATGGAAAGTGGGGGGGAGGGGAGGAGAAGGAAGGAAGGAGATTTGGAGGGGTGGGGGATTTCCTTTATCGAGAGGAATCCCGCATCCCTCCCAGCTCTTCCCCCGATCCCCAAGAAAAATATAATAAATCACTCACACAGCCCCGGGGCCCGAGCGGCCTTAAGCTTCTTGAGGGCTCCCTCCTCGCGTCCCTTCCCTCCTTCCCGGGAAGAAGCCCCGGCCCGGCCCGGCCCTTCCCCGCCGCTGCTCCCGCGCCCGCGGGAGGGAAAGCACAAAGGAGCGCGGAGCGGGGCCGGGGGGGACACGCACCCCGGGCTCCCCCACTATTGTCCCCTCGCAGGTTCCGCGGTCGCGGCTACAGCTGGGGTTCGCGCGGCGGAGTCACGACGTGATTAGAAAGTCAAATGAAATCATGTTTTCTAATTCCAAAAACTGACAGGCAATATAATGTCTGGCTGTGTTTACAAATTAACACCAGTGCTGCTGAGATAGAAGATTTCGCAATCGTTACAAAACCCAGGCATTACCATTTAAAAAACTATTACTTCCTTCTCTAGTCTTTGTCCAACAATAATACTGATTCTAACATTTTCCATTCTGTCTTGGATTTATGCTCCTGTTAATTGTGCCTGATCTCAATGATTCCGGGTGGATGGTACTAAGTTGCTTTATTACAGGTTTTATTATACTCAATGCTCTCATTTGTAACTTGCCTAAAGTGCTTCTGGATTTAAGTATAATTAAATTGAGAAATGTTCAGAAATGACTACTGCTGCAGTTCTTGTGTTTTAACTATATGGGGAAATATGATCCCTTTATGCATGCACCCTAAACCCATAAAGTAAATGTAGTGTGGCATAATACTTTTATTTGTGTTATTTCTACACGTATTCCATACAGGGAGGACTGTTAAGTTTAAAATCCCACAGAGATATTTATGATTAAATAATTTTCACCATCTACTTGACTTTCTTAAATATTTAGCCGTCATTTTTATTAAAGGTTAACTGTTGCAACAACGGAAAAATTCAAAAATTACCCTTCTAACTCACATTTCTGTAAAGGATTTTTTTTTTTTTAACTAGATAACATACACCTCAAAGATGCACCCTCTTATTTTATACTCTCCTTCATGAAGCCTGCTGATTCAGTCTTACAGAGAAAAAAAAAAAATGGCTCGGCTGGTTCAAGTATTTAAACCAGATGGCATTTGGTTTTCACAAAGTATAGCAATGCTATTAATTCATAGATCTAAAGAGGAGGCTTCCCAAATCAGCCCACTGCCATGGAGCACGACACTGAGGAGAGGGAGAATTCAAGAGAACATTTTAGGTCATGTTCTTCCTACAGCAATCAGGGGCTTGCAGTCAACAAATTAGTTTATTCTTACGATTTGCCTCCATGTTATTTTATATCAAGTTTAAAGAGTCTACCTGCTTTTAACAGATCCAAATTGCTTACTAAATCCTCCACTTTGGAAAACGTATGCGTTTATTGCAAAACTGCTAAACACAACCAGCAATTTTCTGTGGCTAATTTAGCCAGATGAGGGCTGTAATAAATTCACTATTTTCTCCGAGTATAATTTACAAAAGATTTCAAAATGACCCCCAAAAATAGGTAAGTTCATCTGAACATTATCCTTGCAACACGAAACTGTACTCATTAAACTGTCAGCGAATATATTGTTGTAATATTTGATCCTGTAATTTGGGATGGCATTTCGGCAAAAATCACATCCAGATACCACAGTTCCCTCCTCCTCTTTCCTCCTGCAAGTCGAGCAGCTTCAGTCCCTCAGCATGAGCTCTGTGGGCTTTAATAAATTTATTGTCATGTTCTAATTCCATTTTCGGGAAGAAACCCAGAAAGATGAACTTTGATCATAACCTATCACGTTGTATAAGGCCACTTTCTTAACTGAACAATAGCCCTGGCTTGCTTTGTAAGTATCCTGTGCACTAATGTCATGCTTAATTAGAAATCATTTTTAAAGTCTGTACTCATCGATAACAGAATTAGGTCCCCCAAATAATGCATCCTCCAATAGGATCCCAACATTTAATTTAATATAGGGTGTAGCAGGTCTGACTCAAATTCGATAACCTATAGGTAATGATTTATGAGGTCATCCCTTTGCACCGCTACTAAGAGAAGGCAGCAGCATTTTAGTATACCTCTTCCCTGATTTGTCAATTAATTCCTTCAGAGAAGAGGATCTGCCCATACCCTCTTGTAACTTTGGACGTGGTTATCCCATACGCCAATCCTGTAATCATGGGAAACCAATTTTTCCTTCTTAGGCCACTTTCACCCACTTTCCCCCCACCCCCCCCTTTGCATTTGTGAGATCTCGTTAAATGTCCTCACAGGCATTTCAGACTCGTGTCTTTCCCAAGGCAGTAAGAAATCCCCAAATGCACGGCCCTCTGGTGATATTATATATTCTTCCAATCGTAACAGCTTATTGTCATTGAGAAGGAAAGATATTGTTAACGATGACGATAATTTGATTTATTTATATTTTAGTGGACAAGTTAGCGGGGAGGCGTTGCACAGGGACGAGCTGCGAGAACCTTTTGTTCTAGGTGGGGGGCTTCACTTTTCCCTTGGGGGGGC